GGGATTCATAGATATCTAGCAGTTGTGCCTTAATTGGATTGTTGTCTACAATAAAACAACATACATCTTGTTCCATTTACCATGCATTGGTAGTAGATAGGCTGGATCCAGAATTCTTACAACTTGTGAAACCAGACCAGAGACTTGACTTTTTTCTGAAGGCAGACATTTCATTTGTCTGCTTTAAGGATCCTATTTCGGGTCTCATTTTCCGCATGAGGTGAAATAATTAGAATGAAATGGGAAGCAAATGTCTGGAGGTTTAACTGTATAAGGTTACTCAAGATCGTTGTATCGCTGTACAAAATAGCTTTATCTAAAAGATATGGAAGAGTACAGTTCTCACTTGCTTTTGCAGCAACACTTTTTTAAAAAAACATAATTGTGCCTAGAAAGTAGTGTATCTTTGTCATCTTTTAATGTAAGCCGGAAAAAATACATTTCCCTTAAATTCAACTCACTGACATAATATAAAGGTCTATTGAGTTAAAATGTGTAAATTTTAATATTTGCCTTAAAAAGAGTAGTGTCCAGTTTCTCAGCTCAGGTATAATTTTGACAGCATATGTAGAGCAGAGGTCCCCAACCTTTTGGGCACCAAGGACCGATTCCGTGGAGAGGCTTTTTCGTGGACTGGAGGGGGCGTGGTTTTGTGTGCTGCCTGCATCTCGCAGATGTGGCTTTGCTTGTTTGTGCTTGTTTGCTGGCATGCCGCAGATTGGTACTTGTCCACGGACTGGGGGTTGGGGACCCTTGATGTAGAGGATATAAATTCTAGGAAAAGTGGTTTCTCCTCATACTTGGGGAGTGGTTAGGTTTGAGTACTCAAACTGGGTGGTAATGAATTAGATTTTCCATGTATCAGGACTGAGCAATAACTTGTCTTGAGTATAGTTAATCTTTTATGTTCACAGTTGTGATTGATCCTTCCATTCTCCCATTTCTACTAGTTAAAATACATTACGTGCTAGGAAGCACCTTGAAGAATCAGTCACCAGACTTATGCATTACAAAATTTTGCAGACACCTCCCTCCTTCACATTCATACTAAGCCACAGCAAACCATATTACGTCTCACTATAATGAATACATCCCATCTACTATTCAAGAAGGAAGAATCAGTTATGGGGAAGACTCAGGAAGCAAAAGGGGCTATTCTTTCTTCATGATGCCATCTTTTTATCTTTGAGGTATAAATTCCCACTTCAAGTGCTACCTTAGGAAGTTCCTTAACCTAAAGAAGATGACAACTAAATTGGAATTTGGAGCAGATTTCTCTGTAACGCTTCAGAGGATCTGGAAAATTGTATGGCTCTTGATATGCAGTCTTTGAAGTGTACTGATAGGGAATTGGCATAATTCAAATCTAAGCAACTTTATATTTGGATTTATGGACTGCATGGCTTTGGTTGGTAAGACTGATCCATTCAACAGCCTCAGAAATAATAAATCTTGGCTCTGTGGTAGTTTAAAACAAGAGAAAGTCAGCAGGGATAAAATATCAATATTTTATTATTCTGGAAAGTTTTCACATGTGTTACTTAAAACAGCCGCAAGTGGAACAGCTTGAGAAAAAAGTGGCAGCGCAGGTAACTTGATTTGGCTAATGCCCACTTGTGTACACAATGTACACATGTTTTCTGAGCACCGGTGTTCCTTTAGTGGATTATAAGGCAGTGGTTGTTCAATAAGTAAAATCTGTATATAGTTTTCAATTATATATAATTCTAATCACAATTTTGAAACTTCACGTGCAAAATAAAATTTACAACTTCCATTCCATAGCAAAGAAGCAACTAACTGAACAAATACCAATAATCAGTTTTTTTTAAAAAAGAGGGAAAGGAAGTAGGGAAAACAACTTCATAAGCATTATTGGCATGACAACTTGAGTGAAGATAGAAATTTCAGTGAGATTTCTTCCATTAAAAAGAATGGGGGGAAAAACACTGATTAACAGGTTTTTTAAAAATTATTAGTCCCAATTTTATTCTATCCTGAGCAGCTCCACATCAAAAATCAAAGTAGCATTTGGTGGGATAACTCCAGGATGACCTGTTGTTCCATATGCCATATCAGGTGTACAAGTGAGCTTTGCCCTTTGTCCAAGGCTCATCTGGCATTAGATGGTATCAAATGAAAAAGAGAGAAGAAAAAGTTAAAAAAAAATGTTGAGAGTCAAATGTCCCAGCATGTATCAAGTTTTAAAACTGACAATAACGGCTGAAGTTACAAGTTTCTATACATCAAATCATGAGATCAAGATGTAATTCATATCGCCAAATTTATTTCCTACCATTTTGAACCACAAAATACTTCAAAATTGTAAGCCTAATATATATATATTTAGGATTCTTAAAGCCTCATCGCCACTATCCCCAGATCAGAATCTCATGCCCATTCATCTATCAACCCAGCGTTCAGGGTCAAACACTATAGGAAGAATATAGCAATTGGCAATGGTACAAAAGGATACTCAGGCCCACTTCATTTCCATTGTAAAACTAAAAAAGTTTTCAAATTCTCAGATGAATGCTCTGGTGGAAGAGGTTAACTGATGTGGTAAAATCTACTTTAATAAACACTTGGTAGTCCATCTGAGTTAGTCTGGTCTAGTGGTTAAGGCATCAGGCTAGAAACTGGGAGATAGTGAATTTTAATTCCACCTTAGGCATGAAAGCTGGCTGGGTGACTTTGGGCCACTTCCTCTCTCTGAGCCCAACTCACCTCATAGGCTGATGTGGGGAAAATAAGAGGAAAGTATGCTGGACATGTTTTGTCGCCTTGAGTTTTTTTGTAAAAATAATAATGGTGGAATACAAATAAATAAATCTTAGGACTAGGGAACAAATGAAGCCATCAAAATGATTAGGTTTAAGATAGCAGGCCACATTAGTTGCAATGTTCCCTTCATCATTTTGATAAAAGTAGTAAATTCCAGTGGATGCTCCTGTTTGGCTGGGAATTTGGAAAAAACCTCACTAAGAAGACAACGGGAAAGCACTGCCATACAGGTAGTCCTTGACTTGCAGCCATTTTAGTGACAATTCGAAGTTACAACGGCACTGAAGTAACTGGCTTTCACATTTACAGCCGTTGCAGCATCCCCATGGTCACCTGATCAGAATTCGGGCACTTGGCAACTGGCATGTATTTATTGACGGTTGCACCATCCTGAGTCATGTGATCACCATTTGCAATCTTCCTAGCCGGCTTCTGACAAGCAAAGTCAATGGAGGAAGCCAGATTCGCTTAACAATTGAAATGATTCAATTAACAACGGTGGCAAAAAAGGTGGCAAAATGGAGCAAAACTTACTTAAAAACTGCCTTGCTTAGCAACAGAAATTTGGGGCTCAATTGTGGTCATAACTCAAGGACTACCTGTATTATTGCAAAAAAAAAAAAAAAAGACTGATTGACAGGAAAGAGATTTTATCTTTGTGAGCCATATTCATTTAAATTTAATTTTGTATACAAGCCACTAGGTGGAGACAACAGGTAGCTGTTAGGAGCAACTACCTACAGAAGTGACTAAGAAGTTTGCTCTTATATGTAAATATTAGCAAAATTAAACAGGACCCTTACTTCCTTGTAGAAGAGGGTATTCTAAGTTGCCTACATAAAGAAAGTGGGAAGCAGGGCAGCTCATATTAGGCAAAGTAAATACTCTGCTGCTGTCAATTTAGTTAACTTTTCTCAATTAGTACAGAATAGCCTAAATTCATAAGGCACTTCAAAGTTCATTTGGAAAACTTTAAGGGATGCAGAAATGGTGCATGGGTGATTCAGGTTTCTAAGCTTACCTTTTATTCTCTTCAGAAGTGTTTCATATGAAATTGTGATCCCAAAAGTAGAAGCAGGGGTGAAATCAAGCAATCATAGGAACAAAAGGGGGGAATTATATAAAATAGAGGAGAATCTGAGCAGAAAACCCAAGGAAAAAAGCAAAAACATTAGGGTTATCTAATGCTTATCTGAAGCATCCTGTTGAGTACACTGAATTTACTTAAAAGTAAACATGCCTTAGGAGTAACAATGTCAGGGGCTAAAATGTAGTTGTTTACCTATCTGTACTAATTGTAACACACCAACACATACATTGCAGAGATTCTAAATTCATACCCTTTTTTTCCTCTTTCATTTATGACAGTGTTAGCATTATTACTGTGGCTTTTTCTGCTCTGAAAACATAAATTCTCTTACCTGTGCAGCTCCTTCTTCAAATCCTTTAATGACTTCTTGTCTACCAATTTTGAACCTGAAAGGCTTGTTTCGATCTCGGGAGGAATCAAACTTCTTTCCATTCTGCAGCATTCCTGTCAAAGCAACATAAACATTTCCTGTTCTTCTCAGGCCTGAGTTAACAACAGGAAGATGCTTACCTGAGTCTAAACAAAATGGACAAGTTTATCACAAGGGAGACTGGGAACGGGGTACGCTGAAGCCTAGTCTAACAGATCAACTAACAGAGGGCCAAGCTGGGATTAAAAGGGAGTTGAGATCTCAAGACAGTGTTTCTCATCCTTGGAAACTTAAAAGTTGTATGGACTTCAACTCCCAGAATTCCCCAGTCAGTCCATACTACTTCAACTTGCCACGGTTGAGAAAACTGGCCCAAGGAATTTTGAAGACTGTAGGTAGGAAAGGTTGGTGGCATCTACAGTAGTAGCAGCCAGTCCTGCTTACAATATAGCCAAAAATATTGGTATCTCTCTACCTTTCCCCTTATTTACAAGAATATGTCACCTATACATCAGAATCAAAGTATCTGCTCTGTGGATTAGGGAAAAAAGAATGGAATGGTGGATGCCATTTATTTGTGTCAGTCTAAACTTATTTCAGGGCAAATTAGAATCCTTTAGGGAAAAGTGGAAGGGTACCCATACTTTTGGGCACTGCATCAATATATATACAGTCCCAGGTCAATTAATGCTAGGCTACATATCATGCACTTTTTTTTCTTGTTTGATTTAACTTTCCCTCAGGTTCTGTTCTACTGCAAGGTATTTCCTGGCAGTATTCTAATAGGATTGTCACTTCAAGTGCCAGACTGGGAAGGAGCAGCAAATTTCTCACTTTTATGTAACTACCCTCTGCCAGTACTGCTGCTTGATAAGATCCCAGCGTCATCCAGACTGATTGGCAGGCAAAGCAGCTTTAGCAAGGTATCCAGTTACAAGATGAACAAGATGATCTTTCACTGTTCGAGGAAAAAGATGACATAAAGACATGCTTTAAAAAAAAAAAAGTCTATAGCCCCAAGGAAACTATTCCAAATGGGAACTTTTTTATTATTTTTTTCTTTCTTTTGTACATTTTTAACTAACTCTTCTCCTAAAGAAGTGTACATTTCTCTACAAAAAACTTGTGAAGTAGATTAGGTTCAGAGATGCTGACTGGACACAATCATTGTACAAAATCATAATTTGACTTTGTTTGGTTTTGGCTCAGAGTGTATTATTAATAATAGTGCAACATATTAGTTATGGGTCCAGGGTCACCCTGTGAATTAGGTTTATATGCCTGCTGCAACTTCTTTAACACATCTTAACTCAAACATATATTTTCCTGAGCCTGCATAGCTACTGTGTCAGTCCAAGAAAAGGCATAGCTCCTTTAAAGAGCTACGAGCAGGTACAATGAAGGCCATTCTGGGTGCAAAGAACCTGATGTCCATTTAGATTTGAATACTTCATATTATAATTCCTATCCTTCTGTAATACATTCTCTGATACAAGGTACACTTCATTATTCTTTCAGTGATGGGCAAATTGCCCATGTCCTAACATAGCAAAGTTTCCCAACCCATGTTCTAGCTGGTCTGAGATTATTATTGTGGAATGCAGTGTTTAGTTCTGCCAGACATAACAATACTTCTGCAGCGTGAAAAGTTTGCCTTCAAATTCATTTGTACGTAAACATTCCTCCAGAAGTCTGGCGGATTATCTAAATGCTTTTTGGCAAAGCTTCAATGAACGTCACGCTCTTCTTAGTGAGATATTACTTCTACATCCTACTACTATCCCATATATCCCATTTTATCCATGTCTTTTTGATGATGAAGTCGTGAACATTGGCTTTAGCCAAAACAAGATGCTGGCCACTGTTTGGAGGATTCATTGCAGACACATCTTTCCATTCGAAGATAAAGTTCTGACTGTGGCGCCCCAGAGTTTTCAAAATAATTTTATGACCTTTCCCACACTTCAAGCGGCAGTGGCTTTTTCCTGAAGGATCTCTTTGAAAGGCATCTGTTTCTTTTGAGCAGGGACTAACATGTCTCTGGAACCCATACAGCGAGAATGTCACTCTGATAAGGGAAGTCAAAGTTTATAAAATGTATATGCATTTTCACCAGCCGTCATTGTCTAATGAAATAGTCAAAGCAACTGGCCAAGTATGCCCTAATTGAGCTGACCAACTTTGGGGCCAATTATTTTTTCACACTCACAAATTGCATGTTGAATGATTTTTCATGCCAGATAAACCGACACCACTCTGATGTTATAGTTAATAATAGATGAATGAGTAATAAGATGGCAGAAAACTTATACAAAATTTGGGGCACTGGGCAGGGATTGTATATATTTTCCGATATACGTTGCTTTTTGTTTTGTTTTGTTTTCTTGCCTAATGCTATCACAGGGCTCAGCCTTAAAGGGGTTATTACAAATCAGAAAACTTTAAAAAGCATCAAAGAGCAGAAATTGCAGGCAGATAGGGAAGAAAGTTGGATTATTTATCACAGAAATATAAAAAGGTTCAGAGAACTGGACACAATGCTATTTTGCATAGCACTACTGCTCTAAACCCAGCAGCTAATCTTCCTATTGATAAAACTTTGTCTTTTTGGAAACTTGGTGAAATGTGACTTTGCTAACAAAACAAAACTGCCTTGAGAGTGTTGGAATGTGGAAAGATGCCTGAATCCTAACAGTAAGAGAGTAACAACCGTGCATTTTCTGTTCTTCAAATTACCATTACCTCCAGATTCTAGAATATTTCCAAGTCTGTTTAATCAAATGGTACATTCTTACAATTCTTCATTGCAGTTCAGATCACAATGACCTCCTCAATTTGATTGTGAAAGTACATGTAGTGCCTTACACAAGGTTAAGATACTTTTTCTCAAGTAAGGGGTATGGGTACTTATTTTTTCTGAGTCCTGCGCCATAGCCATAGCCCTCTGCTAGGATAAATTCTAATGGGTCTTCCAACTCTCACAAAGAATTGACGGGGAGATGAAGGGCTGCAGAGAAAAAGAGACTTTATCTCCTGAAGCCTCTGACTTGTATTTTTATGTTTGATATCTTAGCATTTACATGTAGCATATCAAACAATCAAGAGTATATTTAAGCACACTTTAAAGTGCCATGAACAGGAACTGTATATATGTTCCTTCAATTGCTGGTTCTCTAAGAAAGATATTTAATCTCTTGCCTTCTCTTAAAATGTTTAATTTCTATATACCCTTTTATATTTTAATTTTATAATTTATAATTTATAATTTAATTGTACATTGCTCAGAGTCCCTCTTGAGGGACATGGGTGGTTCAGAAAAGTGAAAAATAAATATAATGAAAATGTATTTGTTTCTTGTAGTCTGAATGTTGATTGCAATATAAACTCTTTCATAGCAAAAATGCTTCATTATGGAAGTTAGTCCAACTCATCAGGAAGACACCAGAGTATTATAGGTTAAGTACTATGTTTTCATTCTCCTATTCATTTTTTTTTAAATAATGCCACTACCAGAAACTCAACTCTCCAAGACTACTCTCAGTTAAACAGAAGATTATACGTATAGAATAAAAATACGCCTGCCTGATTGGCAAATAAAATAAGAGGCAGGTTGCTCTAAATTTTCTCAAGAGAGTTGTGAGGGCAGGAAGAGCTGGATGCATTCGCTCCTTAGCTCCCCACAAAATACGATTTAAACAGGTTTTCTTTCCAACTGTGAGGCTAGTGCAGAAAATGAGCTAGCCTAGGAGACAATGATCTAAACTGATATAATGTAGACTGCAAGGCAAAAAACGAATCTCTCCTTATTCTTTGATATGTAAAAAGTTGACACTAGTCACTACCCTGTAACCGAGCGGGATCATATCCATGATCAAGGAAACATTACCATACAGTATTGCTCCTTTCATGCCTTGCAGCCCATCTGAGTAATTAGGGTTTTCTAATCATGAGAACACAATTTAGAACATTCAACTGCATTATGAGGTATTGCTGCAGCAAAGATGTGCTGATGCCTCAGGCACCCTCAGGACTTACGGCTTAGCTGAAAAATTAAACTGCCAGCAGATAGTATGAACATCTGCCAAACCCTAATATAGCTGCAGCTGTTTTTAACCATAATCTAAAACGTCGTAAAGGCATGTGATATGGAGAGTTTTGCCTTTATTTCGAGTACACGTTTTACGGATCAAGGGAACAGTTCGTTCCTGACTTTCCAGCAAGATTTTCATTTTCTTCTAAATCCTGA